ACTGTCAGACTAAGGAATTGGGCCTGGAGTACGGGCTTTAAGTCCCCAAATAACTTCACAACTTGTGCATCTTTCGCCAAGTTAGCCTCGTGCATTTCGTAACAGCTCTCAGATTAGATCCAATTGTGCTATCTCTGAGAGTTTGGGTTGAGAACTGCAGGAATGAAAGGTAGCAAGAATAAAATATGGAGCAGTCGGCGGGGAGGAAATCCATGATGCTAATAATAGCTAGCGTTTCTCCTTTATCAAAATGTAATTTCTCAGTGCTAAATATATAACGTATCTCATTTAATGTTCACAAGTGTGAATCACGTGAAAATGTGCTAAATACTATCATGATCCCCACTTTACCAATTAAAACAACAACAACAAAAAAAAAACCCTGAGGCTCAGGAAGGTTAAGTAGCTTGCCCAAGGTTGCAAAGCCAGGCGGTGACGCAGGCAGAGAGAAAGCCCAGACTACTTGACTTCAGTGTCTACATTTTAATTCAGTGCTAAATGCCATGTGGAAAAGGACCCTGGGAACCTGGGCTCTTTGGTTCCCATTCTACCACTAGGGATCAGTGGCAGGAGGCAGCTGCCATTGACTGAGATGAGCAAAGCCGTGGACCATGCCCAGGGCAAGCTGCTCTGGGTGGTGAATGAAGAGTTCAGCTGGGGACACGCTGTGGCGGAGGTGGGCCGTGGATATTCACAGGGAGGTGAAGAAATTCAAGCAGACCCGCCGAGAGGAAGCTGGACACTGAGGTCCGACTTCAGGGGTAGATCTGGTCAGCAGGTCACTACATTCAGGCACGAGGGACCTGGGGGATTTTCAAGGAAGTGTATTTAGAGAAGACACCCAAGAACAGGACCATGGGGAGCTCTGACAATTGGGTGATAAGATGAGCAAGGACACCAGGAGCAGAGGCCAGGGAGGTGGAGGACCTGGAAACCAAATGAGGAGGATGCTTCAAGAAGGAAGGTGTGGCCTGCCGCACGGATGCAACTGAGATCAGATCCTCTGGGATAAGTGCTGAGACTTTGGGTATTTGGCAGCTGTGAGGAGGGCAGGGGGCAGGCACAGCATCATGGCAGCCTTAACCAAAGCTTGAATGGAGTGTGTTCAAGGGAGGAAAAAAAGAGGAGGCAGGAACACTGGGCATGGTTCTTAACATCCGTAGCCCGAGCAAATTTGAGGTTCAACGTACTTATCATGATATCACTATAAAGATCATTTTTCTTATTAGGTGATATGCTCCTCAAAGAACTAGAAATGTGATTTATCTTTCGTGCTTTGCACAAGGTAGGTGTTTAAATAATAATGGCAGAATTTAACTAAAATTTTAAATGAAACATTCTCTTTGTCCCACGGTACATGGTAACACTTTATGCACCCCCCACCCGGCCCTTCCCGGCTCAGACACCTCTGGGGAGGACCATGTGGAAAAGAAGAAGAAACTTAGTGTGTTTTTCTTTTTGTTCTTTTTTTTTTTTAAACCAATAAAGGTCAAATTTCCATTGCATGATCACTTTGTGCATGCGTGATGAATCTCTTAAATGCTTATCTTAGAACTTGGGTTCAGGAGGGGGAAGAGGGGAAAAACCTCAGCCCTGCCAACACGTTGGTTTGTGTGAATCACAGCTCAGTGGAACCTTTCAGGCATATAATTTATCTTTTCTTTGGCCTGTGTAGTAAAGGCTTCATTTGTTCGTGAATTCTTGCCTTGTTTTAATGATGTGATGCTCTGAATGTAGTTTTATGAGGCACAAAAATAAGATTGTCATTCTGAAAACACAGAAGATTTGTGTGCTTCCCCCCCAGAATGAAATAGTGGCATCTCTTTCCCAATTCACAGTCCTGTGGCTTTGTGGCTGGAATTCCAATCCACTGAGGAGCAAGTGGTGAAAGTTGGGGGGAGGGTTATGGGAGGGGGAGGGGGACAGCTGATGAGCCCAGAACATAATTTACCCTAAGAATTCTGAGTCAATACATTGCATCCTGTCTATGCGTAGGACATTTTCTGGTGGTGCCCCCACCCAGAAAGCCGTTGACTGTGAAGTTTTATTCTTACTTTCTGAGGGCTGTGTTCTCTCATGGCACTTACAGAACAATTGGTCCCCCCTCTGAATACAGGACTGTGTAGCCAGGGATCTGCTGAGAAACCTTAACAAATCAGAAGCCCATTTTGGGGGTTAAAAATTCTTCAAGACGTGTGCATTTGAAAATCACACAAGTTCCCAGGTTGATGGAGAAATGCCTATTTCTTCACCTTTTTTCATGTTTTATGTGTACATCATGCAGGTTGAGCACTGAATATTTCAAATTACCACCAACCCAAGATGGAAATTCGCAGCATATTGTAACAAAATCAGATGCAGATTTCATTGGTAAATTGGAGGGCACTAGCTCACTTATCCAGAAAGGAAAGCAGGTTATAATTTTGGGGTAACCTGAGAGATTATTGCAACTTCACAATATCACTCCTGGGTTTGCTGTGCTAGATACCTCCCATGGTTCCAACACAAGCCCCCACCTTTGGGCTCAGATCTCACCTTGAAATCCATTCCACAAATAGAGTTGCCAACTCTTGAGTGGGTTTTTTTTTTCAATAAAGGAAGCTGAGATAATAAAGCACAACTCTGAGCCAGGTGTGATGGTGGCACACATCTGTAATCCCAGTAAACTCAGGAGGCTGAGTTGAACTTTCGTAAGTTCAAGGTAGGCCTCAGCAACTTAGCACTACCCTGTCTCAAAATAAACTAAAAAGGGTTGGGAGTGTAGTCCCCTGGATTCAATCCCCAGTATTGCAAAGCAAAAAAAAAAAAAAAAAAGAAAGAAACAAGAAAGAAAACAAAACCCCGGAACTTTTCTTAGATGAAGAGTGAGTTGAAAGGGCTGGAGTTTTATGGTCACATACATTCAGGATCAGATGCAGAACTGGCTTACAAAGATGGGGATTTGGATGAGTCATCAGGCAACTGGGCAAAGATGGGAAAACAGCCCTTCATTCCTTTCGCAAATAACTCAGTCTTTTCCTGACTCAGGCAATGGATGGGCTTTGATGCCCACACCCCAGGAATACCCGACTATCAAAAAAAATGGCAACCTCAGAATAGCTTTGGAAGTCATGGCCAAAATGACAACTCCACAGTGCTTCTCTGCTCAGGGAAAGGGAGCAAGCAGTCTCTCCAATGCTCATGAGAACCAAACAGCAGTTGACAACCTCAGACCAGGGCCTCTTAGGCTCCTGGGGTGTCTGTCTGATCCACTGCTCCCTGGCTGGGGTGGGGGGCGGTGAATCCTCCTGAGTCTAGCCACCCCGCAGCACTGCTTCCTCAGCACAGCATGGAGCACCCTGCACAGCACTGAGCACCCTGGACAGCCATCACAGGTTTATTTATTCGTGTTTCCTTACTGAACACCAAACTCCTTAGAGTAAACACCCTAACCCTGTCCACCACAGTAGCTCTGTGTCTCAGGCTGCTCCTGGGCACATCTGAAGACTCACTTTTTATTAATCCAAAAGCTATTCAATTGACTCCTTGAACTGGTACAGCTTGGGAAGTGGGCATTTGAAGGGACTTTTCTTTTTCAACTTCTGAAAAAAATTTTGAAAATACTTTCAGTCAAAATTTATAGGACTGGGCATGGGGGTACATGCCTGTCACCCCAGGCAGGAGGCTCAGGCAGAAGGATTGCAAGTTTGAGACCAGTCTCAGCAACTAAGTGAGGCTCCAAGTAACTTAGAGAGATCCTGTCTCAAAATAAAAAATAAAAAGGGATGGGGATGTGGCTCAGTGGTTAAGTGTCCTGGGTTCAATCCACAATACCACGCCCCTCTCTACAAATTTATAGGAACAGCAGAATGCTGCTGGTAAGAGTCTTCACATGTGAAGTCTTCACATGTTTTCCCAATTTCAAATGTCCAGAATTTTTGGCTGGTGTCTAATAGTCTCAATATGATGCTTTACAGCACCCCAGATGCATTAAAACCATTGATTAATGTGATACTCATTTTCATTAAGAAAAACAATATATGCACAGTGCTTAGAACACAGCCTTGAATATTATAAGGACTCAAAAGATGAAAGCCAGTGTTATTAGCATCTTAGCTGTACATCATTAAGTTGTCATTAAGACAAATATATTGACAGTGGTGATATTTAACCATGTCATAAAACCTGAGCCCATCTGTTTTTTTCTTTGTTCTATATTTAACTAGAAGCTCCTACTTTATGCTTACATTTTGAAAAATATTGTTATTGAAAATGTCTGTTAACCAAGAAAAGGAGTGCTTCAAAAATACCCTGTATTGACTTCTATTTTCTTCCACATTCAAGGAGTTATTTTCCTGCCCAGAATACAAGCAAACTCTTTCAAGGTTAAATGCTCTCTTTACTGTCAAAAGAGCTTGGCTTTCTTTGCTCAGGATTCAGGATATCACCTTTAAAAAAAATATACTTTTTACAAAAGTATTAATTTAGCTTGTTGGAAAGTAACCAATACATAAAGTAGTCTGTGGAGCTGTAAATGACACCTTCCTGCAAGAGATAGTTAAAGATCAATCCAGGTTCTTCTGAGCAAAGCATGAAATGTGTCCCAGCTAATGCCTGAAACCACACCGTATGTCAAACACGCTGCTGAGACCAGGCAGGGGATTTAAGTCTTTTAGGAACCATTTTTATTCCACTAATGCCTTTCTGTCCGGACTCCAGTGATCATAAATGCGACCTGTCTGCCTCGTCTCTGATAAATGGAAGGACGGGTTCATCTGCATGTAACTCACCTTCTCTTTTCTTTTACATAAAACAGATGTCCCAGCTGTTATTGTTCTCCAAACAGATGTTTCTGCCCAAAGAAACAACCCTCTGCTATTTGTCCTAGAGGGGTGCACGGCTTGACCCCTGTCTAGGACCCGGGGTGACTGTAGGGTGATGCATGTGCCCCTGTCTGGGGTCTTGGCCCATCAGGTCTGCAGCGCACCCTGGGCGCCCCGGGTCCTGGCACGCGCTCTTACCTTCCCTGCAGGGACCGCATCGCCCTGCCCCGGGCCTCCGGGGGCCTCTTTCGCCTGGTCCTCGCTCTCTGCCCTCCTGGCCTCCTCCTGGATGTCAGCTGCTGCCTTGTCCCGTCCCTTGTCCAGTTTGAATAATTTGTCAAAAAAGCTGGTGTCCTTGGCGGGGGCCGCCCCTGACTCGGGTGCCCCGGGGGCAGACAGGGCCTGGTCCGGGGCAGGGGTCCGCCCTGGGGTTTTATCCGCGGCCCTGCCCGGTGCAGCTGCGCCCGGAAGCGCGGGCTCCTCACTCGGGTCTTTGTTCCCCGGAGCGTTATTGGAGCTGACATCAAGCTTCGCGGGTCCGCTGGATGAATCCGTGCCTTGGTCTCCGGTACGTCCTGGTACAGGCCGAGAGAGAGTCAAGAAAAAACGAGATTTAGCAGCTGGTGCCTCGGGTTTGGCCTCTTTCCCAAGATTCTTTCCGTTGGCATCGGCCACAGCGCCCATCTCCATTGTCTTGGGGGAAGAAGTGGTCACATTATCCTCCTGCATGCTTATGCCCAGATCCACTGTAAACACAAACATAAACAGAGGTCATTCAACGAGCCAGGAAATTCCAGGATGAATAATGGACTCCAAACTGTTGATACACAAAGGCACACAAAGGCCGCCATGCAAACGGGGACCTTGCTTTCTCCAGCTGCTCCCAAAGCAGAAGTTCGCCATCCAGATGCCCAGTGACCTGCTCTTCCCAGGAGGGGCACGGCAGGTTGGCGGGAGGGCAATCCCTAGGGGTCAGGCACTGCCTGAGTGACACCCAGCCACAGTTGTCTTCTATCTCCACAGGAAGATGGGAGAAGCATTTATCGGACAGTGGTTAGGAGCCTGGATCTCCGGAAATAGATTAAGGTCTTTGGAACTCCCCAAGGTTAACTTTTGGGATCAGTCATTCTTTATTATGGAGATCTCTGGCCTGGTACTATTGGGTGGATGCCAGTAGTATTCCCTTCTTGTGACCACCAAACACATCTCCAGATTTTGCCCAATGTCCCCCAAGGAGACACTCATGTTTAAGAACCACTGAGTTAGACTCCATTTGAATCCAAGTTATTTATTTTTTCTCTGCTTCAATTTTCTAGCAAAATAAGGCAAATAATAGAACCTGCCTCATAATTTTGTTAGGAAGATTACATGAGTTGATATTGTTAAAGTACAAAGGAGGGGGTCAGTACTATACTAAGTGTTCTAAATGTAGTGAACCTTAGCCAATACCATTACTCAGGAGTGAGAAGCTGATATCCAGAGAGGTTGATCTACCTTCTCAGGGTTGCCCAGCAAGCTGGGAGGTAGCTGAGCCTGGCACAGGTAGAACCTGACTCTTAACTTCATTGCTTTCTCATGTTAGCATGAACGGTTAAAAGTGTTGCAGATTGCTGGGCGCTGTGGTGCATACCTGTGATCCTAGCATCTTGGGATGCTGAGGCAGGAGGATCACGAGTTCAAAGCCAGCCTCAGCAAAGGTGAGGGTCTAAGCAACTCAGCAAGACCCTGTCTTTATTTTTTTATTTTTTATTATTTTTTTTAATATTTATTTTTCAGCTCTCGGCGGATACAACATCTTTGTTGGTATGTGGTGCTGAGGATCGAACCTGGGCCGCACGCATGCCAGGCGAGCGCGCTACCGCTGAGCCACATCTCCAGCCCAAGACCCTGTCTTTAAATAAAATATAAAATAGGTCTGGGGAGATGGTTCAGTGGACCAGTGCCCCCGAGTTCAATCCCTGGCACTGCCCCCATCACCACCAAGAAAAAGTTTTGCAGATTGATACAAGTAATACTGGCAAAGTTTGCACTTTGAAGACCAGCTAAGCAGATGTCTTCCCAGGAAGGCTAGTCGGACCTCAGACCCCAGTAGAACTAGACCTCTTCCCTGGAGGAGCACTTTCCCAACACCCGCCTGTTTGTGCTTTGCCCTCTGCCTCAACTTAATTGAGCTGCTTTCCCCTTTAAGCAGTGTGTTTTGGGGAAGTGGGGCGGCGGAGGATAGCAAGAATTTGGGAATCACCATTAAAGATCTTCTGGGCCCTCCCTTGATGAACCATGTGGTCTTGAGCAAGTCTCTAAAATTCTCAGCATTTCCTCATTTGTAAAACGGGAACATTCGTGGCTTCCTCGCAGGCTTGCCATGACTGACGCCAGGGGAACCTCGCACAAAGGACTTGGCACAATGCCTTTACCATGGCGTGCACCTCATAAAGTGACAGGCCCCCTGGTTACTTTTAAAACTCCTCCCCTGCCTTTCATAACACGGCATTGTGTTTGATTCACTTGGTCAGGAGATGCTTCTTAATATGTTGATAGGAAGACAGACAAGGGTAAAGGGAAAGGGAAGGCTCCCTTGCTTATATTGTACCTTAATATATGGCAATCACCTCTCCCTCTCTCCCTCTCCCTCTCCCTCTCTCTCTCTCTCTCTCTCTCTCTCTCTCTCTCTCTCTCTCTCTCTCTCATTGGTAATTGTTTTTGCCAAACTCTAATATCTCATAGTGTCTAAAGTCAGGAGCAAACACACAGGAGAGAGGGAGCTGGATTCTTGCTTAGCACGGCAGCCTCCTCCATCAACACAGAGGGGCAAGGAAGTGGTAGAAGACCAGGCCAGAGGCTGGTGAGTGCTGGGGTTCCTCCTACACCCCGACCTCAAGGCCCCTAGCTCAGCTGCTGGCTCTTCTCCACCTTTTACCTGTGATCCAGGAATTGGTACTGGAGGTAGGTGCTGCGGGAGAGAGAAGGACAGAGGGAGAAGTGACAGATGGAGCAGGGCACCTGGTGAGCACAGGAGGCAGCTCTGACACATTCAGAGAGGATATAAATGACTTGTGGGCATGGGCCACACCAGGAGTAGAGGAAACAGTTGACAAAAAGGAAGAGGCTGGGCGCAGAACAAGGAAGGGACTTTCAAAATGCCAAGAGCATCAACTGGCTCCTTTCAGTCTGCTTTCTGTGTTCCTCACTCCCTGGCTGGGAACCACAGAACTGGTTGTGAGAGTGTCAATGCTAGAGACATTTCTTTCTATGGAAAAGAAGCCCAACGTCCCATAGATAGACTTTTTTAAAAAGTACCAGAATTTTGCTTTGCTAAAGGGCGAATCCCATGTATATTAGCAGATGTAAACAATAGCTCTTGGTTTTCTTCGATATAAGGAGGCTGATTCATAGTGGGGTAGGAGGGGGAGCATGGGAGGAATAGACGAACTCTAGAGAGGGCAGAGGGTTGGGAGGGGAAGGGAGGGGGCGTGGGGTTAGAAATGAAGGTGGGATGTGATGATCATTATTATCCAAAGTACATGTATGGAGACACGAATTGGTGTGAAATACTTTGTATACAACCAGAGATATGAAAAATTGTGCTGTCTATGTATAATAAGAATTGTAAGGCATTTTGCTGTCATAAATAAATAAATAAATAAAACAATAGCTCTTGGTATCAGAAAATCGACAAGGTGTTTTCAATGACTTAATAATAACTCAGTGTCCTTAGATGGCACATTCCATGACCACTAAAGCTCCAACTCCAACCTTGGGGAGGCACCCCCCGGTTGATCACCTGGGTTCCCATTTTCCTTGCTAAGATGCTCAAGTCCTAGGTGGGCACATGATCTAAGCTTAATTAATAAAAAATAAGTCCTGGGTCTTTGGCTAAACCTACCAGAAGAAAATTGTGCCCTTTGTGCTGGGGTTGGCAATCCACCAGGTCATACATCTAGAGGTGGTGCTGGCTTTGGCTACAACATTGGGGTAGTGACCAACAGATGAAGGCAGAGACAGGAAATCCAGAATGTAGACTCCCAATGATATCACTTGGACATCCAGCTGTGCCTGAAATTGGATTTTAGTGTCACATGAGCCAACATTACCTCCCCGCCTCCTTGTTAGTTTAAATTGAGCACATACTCAGTGATTCAGAGAGAATTTCAGGGAATTGGCCAGTACCTGTTTCTCTTGTTATTTAGTAGGAATCAACTCTCCCCTAAGGGAGCGGTCTCTAAGCTCTTCAAATGTGTCCAAAGACCCAGTGAGCTCTGTGAAGTTGGGGGTACATGAAATGCATTCTCTAACATTTCATCTTAACAAAAAGGGAGAAAATCCATAAGGGAAAGAGAGATTACAGTCATCTGAGACCTTGGATACCAACTCTTAAAACAGATAAAATATGTTCTAAAACACACTCACACACACACACACACACACACACACACACACACAAAACCAATCTGTGTGAATTGAGTTAGGAGAAATGCCGTTGGAGTTACAAGTTTTGTCCTCTTGCAAAGATAGGGCATATTTACATGCTTCTCCACATTATCATGGAAGAAGTACGTTCCTTCTAGAAGACTGGAACTGAGCTTTCAGTTCCTATGAAAAATCTTGGGGGAAACCCATCTTAAATCTGGTTTCAATAAAAAAATGTTCTTGGAAAGCAGACAAGCAGATGACATAGCAAAGAGATTTTACTTTTCATGGAGGAGAAAAAAAGTCTAAGAAGAAAAAAGGAAATCAAGTAAGAATATTTGCAAATGGCAGCTACCAAATACTTAGAAGGTGAAGCCGAAAAGTTTGACCTCTTTCATGCAGAAAAGGTACTTTGTACTGTGCATGTGTTCTTTTAAAGGAAGTGATTTTATCTAGATGTGTGATTGGAAACAATCCCAGGAACATCTGCGGGTAACTGTAAAGAACTTAGATTGTGGATCAGAGGGACCCAGTTTTGATTTTCAATCTCTCAGTCACTAATTGGGTGGCTGGGTAAGTTACATGGACTCTTTATGCCTTAGTTTTCTTATTAAATGGACATGAAAGTAACAGAGCCTTCCTCAAAGGCCAATTGTGAGGATTCATCGAATTATTCCCTATAAAGTGCCTGACACATGCTGGTGGGTGGGTGATGTTCAGGAATCAGTAGTTGGTTGTCTTTGTTCTATTTTTATCCTATTACTATGATGATTATTTTCTATTTCTCAATGTAGGCCAGAAGGGGAGGAATGATTCAAGTGGTTTCACCTGCAAACTCGAGTGCTCTGGAAAGGCTTTTAAGAGCAAGAAGCCAGAAGCTTCTAGAATATCCTCATCATCTGCCAAGCACCAGGTTTTCTTAGTCTAAACAGGGGCTTCATCAGAGTTCTGAGGGTGCATGTACCCCTGCGTTGGTATTGCAGTATTCAGAACATCCAAGGAAGGCTTATCTGCTGTTGCTGCTGTTTTTCAAGTGTCAGGGCTGAAATTTTCACTTGGTGCAACTGCAAAACCACCAGCCCACATTCTGGGAGTGTTCCAGGAGTCAGGCAGCCGGGAGTGTGTGCCGTGTGAAAAGGTCATTCATGAAGGCACCTTGACATCGCCACAGGCTGGGGGCCGTGGCACCCCCACTGTACAGGTGGGGAGACTGAGGTCGGAGGAGAGTTTCTAACACTGTCCAACTCATAAGGGGTGGAGTCAGGGTCAGACCCATGTTTGCCCGATTCCAACGTTCCAACTCATAATGACACAGGACAGCGGGAGCAAGAACAGGAAA